TGAATTCTATCAAATATTTAGAGAAGATCTAACACCTATCCTTCTCAAAGTCTTCCAAAATATAGCAAAGGGATGAACACTCCCTATCATTCTATGAGGCCACCATCACCCTTATACCAAAAACAGACAAGGATGTCACAAAGAAAGAAAACTACAGGCCGATCTCACTGATGAACATAGATGCAAAAATCCTCAAGAAAATACTAGCAAACAGAATCCAACAGCACATTGAAAGGACCCTACACCATGATCAAGTGGGGTTTATTCCAGGAATGCAAGCCTCTTCAATTTACACAAATCAAACAACGTGATACACCATATTAACAAATTGAAGGAGGAAAACCATATGATCATCTCAATAGATGCCGAGAGAGCTTTTAACAAAATTCAACACCCATTTATGATAAAAACCCTGCAGAAAATAAGCATAGAGGGAACTTTCCAAACATAATAATGGCAATATATGACAAACCCACAGCCAACATCATCCTCAATGGTGAAAAACTGAAAGCATTTCCACTAAGATCAGGAACAAGACAAGGTTGCCCACTCTCACCACTCTTATTCAACATAGTTTTGGAAGTTTTAGCCACAGCAATCAGAGAAGAAAGTGAAATAAAAGGAATCCAAATCGGAAAAGAAGAAGTAAAGCTGTCACTGTTTGCAGATGACATGGTACTCTACATAGAGAATCCTAAAGATGCTACCAGAAAACTACTAGGGCTAATCAATTAATTTGGTCTAGTAGCAGGATACAAAAGCAATGCACAGAAATCTCTGGCATTCCTATACACTAATGATGAAAAATCTGAAAGTGAAATCAAGAAAACACTCCCATTTACCATTGCAACAAAAAGAATAAAATACCTAGGAATAAACCTACCTAAGGAGACAAAAGACGTGTATGCAGAAAATTATAAGACACTGATGAAAGAAATTAAAGATGATACAAAAAGATGGAGAAATATACCATGTTCTTGGATTGGAACGATCAATGTGTGTAAATGACTCTTCTACCCAAAGCAATATACAGATTCAATGCAATCTCTATCAAACTACCACTGGCATTTTTCACAGAACTGGAACAAAAAAATTTCACAATTTGTATGGAAACACAAAAGACCCCGAATAGCCAAAGCAATCTTGAGAATGAAAAATGGAGCTGGAGGAATCAGGCTCCCTGGCTTCAGACTATACTACAAAGCTACAGTAATCAAGACAGTATGGTACTCGCACAAAAACAGGAATATAGATCAATGGAACAGGATAGAAAGCTCAGAGATAAACCCATGCACATATGGTCACCTTATCTTTGATAAAGGAGGCAGGAATGTACAGTGGAGAAAGGACAGCCTCTTCAGTAAGTTGTGCTGGAAGAACTGGACAGGTACATATAAAAGTATGAAATTAGATTACTCTCTAACACCATACACAAAAATATGCTCAAAATGGATCAAAGACCTAAATGTAAGGCCAGAAACTATCAAACTCTTAGAGGAAAACATAGGCAGAACACTCTATGACATAATTCATAGCAAGATCCTTCTTGACCCACGTCCTAGACAAATGGCAATAAAAACAAAAATAAAGCAATGAGACCTAATGAAACTTCAAAGCTTTTTCACAGCAAAGGAAATCATAAACAAGACCAAAAGGGCTTCCCTGGTGGCGCAGTGGTTGAGAGTCCGCCTGCCTATGCAGGGGGCACGGGTTCTTGCCCCAGTGCATGAAGATCCCACATATCGTGGAGCGGCTGGGCCCGTAAGCCATGGCCACTGAGCCTGCGCGTCCGGAGGCTGTGCTCTGCAACGAGAGAGGCCACAACAGTGAGAGGGTCGCATACCACAAAAAAAAAAATACAAGACCAAAAGACAACCCTCAGAATGGTAGAAAATATTTGCAAATGAAGCAACTGACAAAGGATTAATCTCCAAAATTTACAAGAAGCTCATGCAGCTCATTAGCAAAAAACAAACAATCCAATCCAAAAATGGGCACAAGACCTAAATAGAAATTTCTCTAAAGAAGATATACAGGCTGCCAACAAACACATGTAAGAATGCTCAATATCCTTAATGATTAGAGAAATGCCAATCAAAACTAGAACGAGATATCATCTCACACTGGTCAGAATGACCATCATCAAAAAATCTAGAAACAATAAATGCCTGAGAGGGTGTGGAGAAAAGAGGACAGTCTTGCACTGCTGGTGGGAATATGAATTGGTACAGCCACTATGGAGAACAGTATGGAGGTTCCTTAAAAAACTAAAAATAGAACTACCATATGACCCAGCAATCCCACTACTGGGCATATACCCTAAGAAAACCATAATTCTAAAAGAGTCATGTACCAAAATGTTCATTGCAGCTCTATTTACAATAGCCAGGAAATGGAAGCAACCTAAGTGTTCATCATCGGATGAATGGATAAAGAAGATGTGGCACATATTTACAATGGAATATTACACAGCCATAGAAAGAAATGAAATTGAGATATTTGTAATGAGGTGGATAGACCCAGAGTCTGCCATACAGAGTGAAGTAAGTCAGAAAGAGGAAGACAAATACTGTATGCTAACACATATATATGGAATTTAAGAAAAAAATGTCATGAATAACCTAGGGGTAAGAAAGGAATAAAGACACAGACCTACTAGAAAACGGACTTGAGGACATAGGGAGGGGGAAGGGTGAGCTGTGACAAAGTGGGAGAGAGGCATGGACATATATACACTACCAAACGTAAGTTAGATATTTACTTGGAAGCAGCCGCATAGCACAGGGAGATCAGCTCAGTGCTTTGTGACTACCTGGAGGGGTGAGATAGGGAGGGTGCGAGGGAGGGAGACGCAAGAAGGAAGAGATATGGGAACATATGTATATGTATAACTGATTCACTTTGTTATAAAGCAGAAACTAACACACCATTGTGAAACATTTATACCGCAATAAAGATGTAAAAAAAAAAAAAGAAAGAAAATGTGGCACATATATACAATGGAATATTAGCCATACAAAGAAACGAAATTGATCTATTTGTCATGAGGTGGATGGACCTAGAGTCTGTCATACAGACTGAAGTAAGTCAGAAGAGAAAGACATATACCGTATGCTAACACATATATATGGAATTTAAGAAAAAAATGTCATGAAGAACCTAGCGGTAAGACAGGAATAAAGACACAGACTACTAGAAAATGGACTTGTGGATATGGGGAGGGGGAAGGGTAAGCTGTGACAACACGAGAGAGTGGCATTGACATATACACACTATCAAACGTAAAATAGATAGCTAGTGGGAAGCAACCGTATAGCACAGGGAGATCGGCTTGGTGCTTTGTGACCACCTAGAGGGGTGGGATAGGGAGGGTCGGAGGGAGGGAGATGCAAAATGACAGAGATATGGGAACATTTGTATATGTATAACTGATTCACTTTGTTATAAAGCAGAAACTAGCACACCATCGTAAAGCAATTATACTCCAATAAAGATGTAAAAAAATAAAGTCATGAAGAACCTAGGGGTAAGATGGGAATAAAGACACAGATCTACTACAGAATGGACTAGAGGAAATGGGGAGTGGGAAGGGTAAGCTTTGACAAAGTGAGAGAGTGGCATGGACATATATACACTACCATACTTAAAATAGATAGGTAGTTGGAAACAGCCCTATAGCACCAGGAGATCAGCTCGGTGCTTTGTGACCACCAAGAGGGTTGGGATAGGGAGGGTGGGAGGGAGGGAGACACAAGAGGGAAGAGATATGGGAACATATGTATATGTGTAACTGATTCACTTTGTTATAAAGCAGAAACTAACACACCATTGTAAAGCAATTATACCCCAATAAAGATGTTAAGGAAAAAAATGATGTAAAAAAAAAATAACACCATAATGAGATATTACTTCACACCCACTACCATGGCTGTAATGAAAACAAAAATGTTTGAATCTCTTCTAATATAAGTCTTTCTCCATAGATTTATGATCTCACAGTGTTGAGATACTAATTTCTTGTTATAAGTGTAATAATTGTTTTCATTATAAGTTTGCGTCTAGATTATTCTGTTCAAAAGAACAGATTAATCATTCGTATGCAAGCATCATTTTATAAGTATTTTTTTAAAAAACTAAACATGTGAAGGTGGGAAGGAATGGTTAAACTGTGAAAATATCCTTGTGCTGATTCTAGTGAAGCCACTATAAGTCATGTTTCAGACAATATCTCATAACCCGATTAAACACTTATTCTATATGGAAAAGGGCATGCCATGAAAATGCATATGCAAAATTATCCCAGCTTTGTAAGAGCGTATTAACAAGGCAATGGGAAGTGTTAATATTTGACTATGAGCCCTGTGGAATGGGAGGTGGGTTTATAGTTGATTATTTTCTTCTTCATGTCAATTTGCTAAACTGTACACCGTGCCCACATTGCCCATACAATTCCTGTGCAATCAGTGAAAAAGAAAAAAAAATTATCCTCAACAAGTCCGGGAGTACATGTCAGTAAAAATTACCGAGAGACTGGGTCAAGATGGCAGACTGAGCACTAGTGCATTTCTCTCCTACCTCAAATTCCCTTAAATGACAGAAAAGACAGTTTTCTGTATATAAAGAATAACTCCAGAATGACAGGGGGAAAGGAAAGGGCAAATTCCTGGAGGATGAAAAGCAGATGGATCAGGGGTACTGAGGTAAGGATAAGGGTGGGGGTGGGGAGACTGGGGGCCCAGAACTGAAGAGGGGGCGCAAGGCGATTGGGGAGGGGATTTGTTGGTCAGGCGGCTCCAGATTTTGGGAAAGGGGCGGGGCAAGGAACCAAAGAGCGCCTCCCGGGCCCAGGGCAGGGGCGGACAAGAGAGTTGGCGGGCGAGGTGCGGGGTGGGGGGCGGGGGGGCGGGTGATTTGCTGGGCAGGAAGGGGAGGCCTCTCTCCTGGCCGGAAGCTGTGCTATACGGAAAAGAGGGAGGAGACTGCGGCGACTGCAGCGGCTGGTGGGAACCTGATGTGGCAGAGGGGCCGCTGCTGCCAACAGGGAGCGGAGCGCCCGCGAGCCGAGTGCTGGAGACACTGCCGCCATCCTGTTTGCCTGTCCAGCAGCCCACTTGACACTCTCCTCTCCTAAGGATCCTCCCTCTCAGCTCTTGCAAGCACCTGGCTCGTCGTCTGCTGGTCCTCCTTTGACACAGGCTCACCGCGGAGGCAGCAGCGAGGTGCCCGATTTGGGCACGCGAGGCCCGCTATCCCCGGCCTGGGGGAATCTGTGTCCCCTGGCCTGGACAGTGTTGGACGCAGGGCGGGAGGAATAGGGGGGTGCCCCCTATTTCTTTGACTGTAACCGCAACTCCTTCACGCTACCATAGCCTGAACTAGCTGGGGAGGAAGGTTACTGCAGGCACGCAGCCAGAATGCCTTGATTTCCAGCCTTTCCGCATAGATTTCGGGAAAAACTTAGGCGTGGGTGCACAGAATGCACTAATTAGGAGAAAAAGTTCATCGTGTCATGCATTGAATTTATTTTTTCTTGATTTCCTTTCTTGGTCCTCCTTGCTACTGTGCTCCGCGCAGGCATGAAGACCCCGCTTGGAAAAGCAGCTGCAGGGCAGCGGTCCAGGACAGGCGCAGGACATGCCAGTGTGTCTGTGACCGTGATGAAGAGAAAGGCTGCACACAAGAAGCATAGAAGCAGACCCACCTCCCAGCATCGGAGGAACATCGTGGGCTGCAGAATTCGGCACGGATGGAAAGATGGGGATGAACCTCTAACACAGTGGAAGGGAACCGTTCTGGATCAGGTACCTGTAAATCCCTCTCTGTATCTTATCAAATATGATGGATTTGACTGTGTTTATGGATTGGAACTTCACAGAGATGAAAGAGTGTCATCACTTGAAATCCTTCCTAATAGAGTTGCATCATCTAGAATCAGTGATACACACTTGATAGAAATTATGATTGGCAAAGCAGTGGAACATATTTTTGAGACAGAGGAAGGTTCCAAAAATGAATGGAGGGGGATGGTCTTAGCTCAGGCACCTGTCATGAACACATGGTTTTACATTACCTATGAGAAAGATCCTGTATTATATATGTACCAGCTCTTAGATGATTATAAAGATGGTGACCTACACATCCTTCCAGATTCCAATGATTCTCCTCTCGCAGAGAGGGAGCCAGGAGAAGTCATAGACAGCCTAGTAGGCAAACAGGTGGAATATGCCAAGGAGGATGGCTCCAAGAGAACTGGCATGGTCATTCATCAGGTGGAAGCAAAACCCTCTGTGTACTTCATCAAATTTGATGATGATTTCCATATCTATGTCTATGATTTGGTAAAAACATCTTAGGGGTCATTTTGAAATTTGCCAAATATGTGAGACTGTTTGTAAAATCTGAACACACAAGAAGTCTGGATTGCTTTACAGTTTGTAAGAACCATATTCTCCCCCTTTTTCACACTTTTGCCTGGCAAAAAATTGGAACTTCCACCCTCTCAGACATTTTTTGAAGAAACCTTTTGCCTTTATCTCCAACCGTTTTACCGGTTCCTCCCCACAGAAGAATGATTGACTTAGCTAATTAGTGAGAGGGGTAAAGTCTGACATCCATTGGCCCATATTTTTATCTTGGGTGGTGTTAATAGGCTAAAGGTAGCTGAACACCTCTTGCCTCATTCTTTTGGGCATTTGGACAATCTGCACTCACTGAAGTGTGAAGCTTCCTGAGATATGCAATGTGGCTGGCTGGATAAATTTCTTTGCAATTCAACCCTCCCCTTAGGGCTGGCTGGGTTAGTGTCTTTGCAATTCAACCCCTCCCCTTCAAAAGTCTAATATGGGGAGGAATGGGAAGCTTATTTTGGTCTTCTGTCTAAGTTACATTTTAAATTCTAACTATACTGAAAGTAAGGCTAATATTTTGTTCCATTTCTGATTCTTGTACCTATTATTAACTTGGTTTGGAAATCAAGAGGGTAATTATTTTGCACTTTAGTACATAAGCATAGGCTGAGAAACCTTACAAAATTGTTAAGAGGGCAAGCATTTGGGAACCAAACCGCAAGTGGAGAAATCACGGTTGGTCATTAATGACATTAGGATTTCTATTGTCTACAATAGCTCTGGCTGGTACCTGCAGACAAGGAGTGGGTTTTTACAGACAAAGCCTGTGCAGGCAGACTTTAGCACAATTGGGCTTTGCCAGCCCAATAGAGCATTAGGCCGGGCTGTAGCTCTAGTCCTCAGTCACAGGATAAAGGCCAGGTTTGGCAAGGGTTGGCAGATCTGTCTAGGACCTCAATATAAAGGAGCAAAAATCTGGAATCAGGCTGAGATACAGATTTCTTTCCTATACCAAGAGGGATGCTTTGAAAAATTTTAAATTAGGTTTTCATTTGATTCTTAGAAGACTTCTGAGTCCCAGCATATGAGGTGGGCAATGCACTTGCTAGAACTAAGAAAAGCTGAAAATAGGCTTTGCTTCCTTGTAGGAACTGGTGAGCTCATTTATTCTGGTGTCCTAATAGGACTGGGGAACACAGAGATTAGAATCAGTGCTAGATGATCAATAGACTTAATGATTTTCTAAGTGCTTAATAATGTTTTTAATGCTGTCATTTGTAGATAGAAATCTAATAGATATTTGTTAGTGTTTTGTTTTTCAACTTTATCCTGTTTCTTGGCTGGACCTAAGAAACTCATGTGCAGATAAGGATGAGCCCTATTTCAGCAGAAAAATAAGTAATGGAGTGGGCCTTGTACCTTCCGTTATTGAAGGCATTAGTGAAGGTTAACTTTGGAAAGTTAACTAGGAAAGAAAAGGTTGAAAAATAAGCAGGGTTTTGGAGAGAAGCACCCGGCCAAAGACAATGCATTCTCATTGGGTTTCTGATAGAAGCTCCATTAGCAATAACAGACAGGCCATGGACTTCTGCATATTTGGGGCTGGGACTCATGCCAGTACAATCAACCACTTGGGAAATATCTTCCAAATTAGTTTAAGTTCACAGGTCATGGAGTCCAGACTACTGGCACAGACAGACTGGCATCCTGCTGAGGATGAAACCAAGAAAGTGTTCTCTTCTCCCATGTTTTCTCTGTCTATATTTCTTCCTTTTGATGCCACTAAGTCTCTGCTCAGATATTTGACTGACAACAGCAATGTGGGTCTGTATTACCCTATTTACTAAGTCCTGGGGACATAAATTTGCTTGAGATATCTGTTTTAGAGGCTGAGGATTAGTGTGCTTGCTAAGTTTTTGGATGTGAGGCTGACACTGTGATAATCTTATGTCCTGTTGACCCTGTGGACTCTTAATGTATGACATATATGTATGACATGCAATTGTGGGGTTAGATTAATTCAACTCCTGAAGTTCTGAAGGAACTACACCAAATCAAGAGAAAGACAGCCCAGGCTACAGCTGATGAAGGAACCCCATATCTGTCCAGACATCTTTGTGAGATCTGTATGGCTGACATCAGAAAAACCAAGAAATTGGGGAAGGCAGAATTTTGGACTTTAATTCCTTTGGACTTTAAAATAGAAATTTAATTGGGAGAATTCATTTTTCCCTTGGAGTTTAATAGTTGGTGTGATTTTCATACAGTTCAAATTAAGGCATTTTCATTATGTTGTTGATATTGTATTATTTGTAGTATTTTAATGCTATCTTTAGGGCTTATTGTATAATCTTTTAAGCTATGTCAGATAATGTGGCTGGACATAATTATAAATTGGGGATAAAATAGTGAGTGAATTTTCAACCTGGGGTGTAATGTAGCCTTCGAGTTAATTTAATTACTGTTTTAGTTTGACTTATTTCAGAGCCTTCTGGGGCAAAAGCAGAGCTGCTCACCAGTCTTACACAAGAGGGAGCAGGACATTCCTAAGATACTGCTGGTCTTCCCCGAAAGGGACAGCCAAGCCCTGTTTGTCTTGGGTGTTGACAATGTGGACAGAAATGTCCAATGGTATGATAGGATCTATCCTCTGCCTCTCTCCATGTTCCTGGCCAAGAAACAAAAGGACTTGTGTCTCTCAAAAATATTTGGAAGAAAATTTCTACCCGTCTCCCAAATGGGAGGAGAAATAATTTGGTGAACTTGAGAAAAGGGTTATTATGGATATGCAACTTAGGGCCCTCTTGGCTCTTGAGCTCATTTCTCACAGAAAGATATGAAAAAGACTACAGTCCTTCACTACATGGCTGGATAAACATCTAATCTGTAGACGTCTCTCACCCTCTGGGGTGGGGGATCCATTACACTTGGGGTAAAAGTTCATTTCAGGCTTAGGTCCAAAACATGTTCTCCAGTCCAGACCTATCAGCAATAAAGCTGGTATCTATTTTTATTCTTTAAAAATTTTTAACTTATAAATCATTTTTGGACAAAAACACACACCTCTGGTAAAAATCAAACAGTACAAAAGGATATACAGTATAAAGAAGTCTCCTTCCTTTTTTCCCACCCCTGACTTCAGCGCCAATTTCCAAAGATAACCACTCTTACCAGTTACTATGTATTTTTCCGGAGATAATCCATGTATTTACAAGTATATTATATATGTGTGTATCAGATTTTTATACAAATTGTGGCATACTACACATGCTGTTATGAATTTTTCTTTTTCATTTAACAATATATTAAAGCTGGTATTTTAATCCCTCTTTGATTACTGTGTATATTTTTTATTTGGTTCAGAATCTGTAAGGGAAGGAGGTATGATTAATTCGGACTTCCATACCCCAATCTAGTTTAATGAAAACTTACATGTCCCTGAAAACCAACAATTTCTGCCAGGTAAATTTTTCTGACTAGTAGAATGTGAAATGTATGTAAACATGATCGATTTTGTGGAAGGAACTCCTTGAGGCCAGTATATTTTTGTTGAGGGAATTTAAAGGGGGAATCAACTATAAATTGAAGCTGTGGAAAAAGTTAAGGCACTATAATCAGTTATTCAAAATTGAAATGAACAATCATTTTTTTATTCCAACTTACACTGACATCTACTGCCATATGCAAGTTTGTTTGCCTTTTATGACAGAATGCTTTTCTGCATATAACAAGAAACCCCTGTTAAACATGTTTAAACAGTTACCAAGCATTATTGACTCATGTAACTAAAATAATCCAAAAGTTAGATGGGCTTCAGGCACAGTTTGATTGGGGCTCAGGCTCAGTGTCTGTGATTTGTTATGAGTTTCCCTCTTCAGTATTTCAGTTACATTCTCAGGCTGCCTTTCCTCATGGTAGCAAAATTAGACCAGCAGGTCCAGGCCACAGCAGTTCCAGTCTACAGAAAGTTAAATAACCTATGTCCTGTGATGCATTCCGAACTGGCTTAGGTCACATACCTAGACAACTGAAGTCCCATGGATGAAATGCACTGATTGGCTTAGCCAGGGCATGTGTTCCATCCCTAAACCCTAAAATATATCTCCCTAGAACCAAATGGATTCCTAGTGAAATCAAGAGCATGAGGAGTGAATGCCATGAACCAATCACAAATGTCTAGTATAGCTTCTTCCTTTGGGTAGTGAGCATCCACGAACACCTTTCTTCCCACATATCCACTTTCAAAAATGTTCACACCTACATGTAGTAAATTTATGTCTTCAAAGGGGAAAAACCTAAAGTCTTATCCAGTTACTACATTTAACATTAAGTTTAGGATCTCTAGTTGATCTGCAGACATCTTCAGATCCATCATCCTAGCAGTCTTGTCACCTGTAGTTAAATTACAAACTAACCTTCACTCCAACATACCCCATATACAGTTGTGAAGAAGTAACCAGAGAAGTATAATAAAAACTACCATTTGAAAGAAGGGAGGAAGCAATACACAGTAGTTTCTGGTTCAAAGCATATTTCATAATCTGTTAGACAAGGACTCTGCCCTAGCAGTAGAATGAGTCCTCTGGTCAGCCAGCCTCTTTTTTGTTCTCTAAGAGGGTCTCCCTTGGAGACATATCTTGGGTGGATGCACTTTCTTGGGGATGAACAGCTTTAACTCTCTGCTTCATCTTATGCCATTTCTTGTGTCTAGGAGTTGTTCTGGGTTTAAATAATGAGTATTTGCTGTTGTTGGCCAGGATTGGAGTCCCTTTAATATAGTAGTTCTCAAACTTTAGCACATGTTAGAATCACCTGAAGAGATTGTTAAACTACAGATTGTTGGGGCCCACCAACAGAAATTCTGATTCAGTATGTCTAGTGTGGGGTCCAAGGATTTATGTATTCTAACAAGTTCACACAGGAGACTGATACTTCTGGTCCTGGGATCCCATAATGAGAATCACTGACTTGTAGGTGTCAATCGAGTGAGGCCAGAATCGTTATTTCCTTAAATTACCTGATAATAAATTTACATCAGCTGCTTGCTAAAATATAAGCTCCTGAACCTCGCCTTAGTTTTAATAAATCAAAATCTCTTGGCAGGGGAATAGGGGGACCTGGAAAACCTCGACCAGACATTCCAAGTGATTCTTATTATTATCAATACTGATTAGGAAACACTGGTCTAGGAAATTAGGATTTTCTTGACCCCAATCTTATTTCCTTGTAAGTCTATCTCCTTGCCATTGCTCTCACAAAGCTTAGTTTGAGGTAAGGAATTTGGCTTTTCTAATCCTACAAGTTTCCAAATTCTCAGGTGTCTTTCAACTAGGATTTCAGACAACCAATAACTAAGGTAAGAAACCTCCATTTTCTTTCCTCGCTGTTTTCAGATAGGCCAGTTTCCACTATGGATATAGTATGCTTGAACTTTGCCTAAGAAGCCTAGATCTGAGGGATCCAAAAGAGTATAGAGTAGGAGAAGCAATGAGATCAATAGAATGGGCATAATTCCAGGCTCCACTAGCTCTGTGATTCGGCTCTAGTGACTTAATCTTTTTAAGCCTACTATTGCAGGTAATAATCCTTACCTTACTCGGTTCTATTGAGAACTAAATGAGAAGCTATATTCTTAGCATATAATAGTGCAGTGCAGGTACTTAATAAAAATGAATTCCATCTAGTTTCCAAGAGGCTACAGTCCACATTCTTTTAGTAAACATTTATATTTAGCAATGTCCAGTGACATTTAACTAGTGAATATAGTCCAGAAATTCTATTACTGAAATGTGACTTTAAATAATTCTTTAGATGTGTATAGCTCCTTCCTTTCCTACTAATAACTTTCCCAGAGAGCTGAAAATCTTCATAGCATTCCTGGATGGTTAGGAGGGCAGGGATTTATTCTATTTTGTAGATTCAATCACTCATTTATTCAAATGCTTTTTGTTGGACTTGGCTAATAGTGAAGAAGGAAATAGATAAGGTCCATACTTTTAGCAAGCTTAGATTCTCATAGTGGGAGAAAGACAACAAAGATGTAGACAAATAACCTATATAATTTCTGGGAGTGATAACTTGTATGACGATAATAAAGCAAAGCAATGGGATAGAAAGTAACTGAAATAAGGGAGCTATTTCAGCTAGAGCTTGTCAGAAAAAGGTCTGAGTGGATATTTGAACAGATAACTGAATGATGAGAAGCTAGCCCATGCAACAGTTTGAAGGAGGAATGATCTAGAAAGAAAAACAAGTTGAAAGGCTAGGATAGCTGAAATCATTTATTCATGGTTATTAATGCAGTCATATGTTTAATACTGAGACCTATGATTCATGATTTTTCTCTACTGTTCTATACAGCTGACTAACTATGTTACTGTTGTTTTCTGGTATTTTTGTCTCTTTGTGGAGGTCAAAGAACATTACAGACATCATGTCTGTGCATTATTTCAATTGTTACCCTGATCCTGGAGATGAAGTAAAGGGGCTAAAAAGTCAATGAATAAATGGAAACGGGGCAGATTTCTTCCCCAACCCCAAATTTATGATGCAGATCCACAGCACAGAGTTAAAGTTGAAGCCCATACATAATGTAGTGAAGGTGTACACCTATTTTTGTGGTTACAGTTTCAAATACACACTACATTTCAGCCATTTAGTTTATATCATTCATCTTTGGAGGGTGGTGGAATGGCAAAAAACATTTATTGAACACCTAGCATGTGCCAGGCATATCTTAATCTTCACAGCATACTGGGAACTAAGTGTTACTATTTCCATTTTACAGATTAGGAAATCAAGCTTAGAGAGAAAAAGGATACAAGGGTCATAGATGTAAAATAGATAGCTAGTGGGAAGCAGCTGCATAGCACAGGGAGATCAGCTCGCTGCTTTGTGACCACCTAGAGGGTTGGGATAGGGAGGGTGAGAGGGAGGCGCGAGAGGGAGGGGTTATGGGGATATATGTATACATATAGCTGATTCACTTTGTTATACAGAAAAAACTAACACAACATTGTAAAACAATTATACTACAATAAAGATGTTAAAAATAAATAAATAAGTAAATAAATAAATAAATATAGATGCAAGGGTCACACAACTAGTAACAATACTGGACATGAACCTAGGTCTCCCGATGCCAAGTGCTGTTCTATCAATAATTATTATTTTTACTAACATTTGCCTAAAGAAATGGGAAAAAAGCAAGAGCACCAAGGGAGAAATCAAAGTGATTTACAGCTGTGGTCTTCCTATTCGTTCATCTCTATCACCTTCTCTCAACACATACTTTGTTCCTACTCTTAAATCTACTACATTCATTCAACAAATTTATTTAGTATCTATTTTTTTCCAAGCACTGTAACTAGGAACTTGGAATATTTCAGTAAATAAAACAGTCAATGATCTCTGTTCTCATGGAGCTTACATGCAAACAAGAGGAAGCTGGCAATAAACAATAAAAATAATAAGTAAATAAATTATATGGGATGTCAGAAAGTGACATTTTGAAAAATTTGTTCTGTTTGAACAAAAAGAAAATTAGAAAAGGGTAAGAGGTGAGAGGAGTGGTGGGATGCAATATTAAATAGGGAGATTAGGATAGATTTCATGGGGAAGGTGATATTTGAGCAAAGTAATGATGTGAAGGAGTTAGCCAAGCATGTAGCTAGAGAGAGCATTCATGGTAAAAGGAACTGGTAGAGGAAAGGCCCTAAGGTAGGTGTGTTATTGGCATGTTCAGAGACCAAGGAGGCTACTTCGTCTATAGCTACAAAAGTGAGGGTGAGCGACACAGGTGAAGTCAGAGAGGTAATAAGGGACTAAATCATATAAGGCCCTGTAATGCATTGTAGGAACTCTGTATGAAGTGAGGAGCCTGTCACAGGTTGAGTTCCCCAGGAAGCAGATGTAAAACAAAGTTAATACTTCAGAAAATTTATTAAGCAATGCCTTTGGGGTCAATATCTATGGAGGAAATGGGGAAGAAGAAGAAGCAACAAGGGAGAAGTCAAGCTCTGATACTCAATGACAGTGTCAACCACAAATGCATACACTGATTAATCACTGAATATAGGCTACCCTGGGAAAGGACATGACCTTGGACAAGGCTGCTCTCTGCAGCTAATACAGTCCTTAAACAGGGATGACAGCTGAAGCTGGGGTAATAAGTGTGTCAATGAAAAGGAACCTGGGTGTTGCATTTCCATGTCCACAGAGCCATTGCAGATTTTGAGCAGATAGTTGACCTGACATGCTTTTTTAAAGTATCTCTCTGATGTTTTGAGTGCAGACTATAGAGGGAAAAGTATGGAATCAGTGAAACTAGTTAGGGTATTGTGGGAACACAGATGTGAGCTGACAATATCTGAAAAGTAATGGAGGTGGTAAGAATTTGAATCTTGGATATATTTTGAAGGAAAAGCCCCAGGATTTTCTTACCAATTGGAGGTGGAAGGTGAGAGAAATAGAGGAGTCATGGATGGCTCCAATATTCTTGGACTAAACAACTGGAAGAATGGAGTAGCCATCAACAGAGATGAAGAAGGCTATGGTTTGGATGGATGTAGAGGGAAGATTAGAAATTCAGTTTTGGAAAAATTGAGTTTGAGGTGTTTTTAGGATATCTAAATGGAGATGTTGAGCAGTTATTGAATATATGAGTCTGCAGTTCAGAAGAGAGGTCTCACTGAGCTGAATACATAAATTTGGGAGGTTCTGTGTATAAATGGTATTTAAAGACATGGGAGTATACAAGATCACCGTAGG